ACTATTAGATGTGGCTTTTAACAAATTCCAACCGAGCAGAAACAAAATATATTATAATGATTCTTCCACTTAGAAGAATAGAAACACTGAGTGCCTCAAAAAGTTCAGTATCACAATTTTGACTTGAAATTTCTTTTGTTAGTTAGATATCTATCTATTCATCCTGCATCAGATTAAATGATCCAAAGCCATTAACCTGGGAGGTTTAACAATCTCACTATTCAAGGTGCTTTAGTACTTTTCATCATCAAAAACAGCCACCAGAATGGGAAGGAGAATATGTTTTAGCAAAGACCTCATAAGCAGCTTGGCACGTAGTATCTAACAGAATGTTCAATGCAAAAGTTACAATCCAGCTTTCCCATCAAGTTATGCCATTACCAAGCCACCTCATGAGCATTTTTTATTTGACTAAACTAACTCAACTAGTTGGTAAAAAATAATAATAATGACAGAACTAGTCCTTTCGACAGTAACCTCATAAAGCTACTCTAATTTCCAATTTTGTTCCCTAGATAGACTCATCTAACTCATAGACATAAACATATGCTTTGCAAAGAAAATATTTAACTATATTTAATTGCAATACTGCTTCTTGCATCAGCTTACCTCATCCACTAGCCCTTCATATGTTAACTGAGAACACATAGGAGTAACCATATCCACCTGTAGCCAAGCAGTAGAAAGTTTCAGTTGAAAGCAACTATAGTATTGTTAATTTTTGCAGCAACTGCACTATCAAATGAGAGAGAAGAGGCAACAGATCATGTACATTTTAGAGCTCAAATGCAAATTTTCGCAATTTGATTTAGTCAATTACTAGTGGTATGCTGGGCATTTAGGTACTTCTCAAATAATAAATTTACAACTCTCCTTAAAACAGGCTTAGTATCTTTCTCCCATCATCTTGATGAAAGTATTCTAGCAAAGAAAAAAAAATACTTACTGCACTGCACGACAAGACTCACCTCCCTATCTATGAGGATGAGAGTGTTAATCTCTGGTACAGCTGTCTGAAGAATCAAAAAGGAAATAGAAGGCCACAAGTCAATTTAAATTCATAAAAAGCACAAGCATTAAAATTAATTTCCAGAGGAGAAAAGGTGTAAAAGAGGGCCATAATTACATCAGATGAGTTAACAGGTTCTTCAGTCTGCATGCGATTAAGAATATCTGCGACAAGAACAGATGCTTTGCCTTTTGCCCGCAAATTTGGTATAACTCCAAAAGAAGACTGCAACGCGTAAATTATATGATAAATTTAGAATAAGAAAATAGAAATAAGAAAGAGCTGTATTATATTGGTAAATCCTTACAATACAATATTAGAATTAATTATTTTATTAACTCTTGATATTTGCTGCAGGGAGGCATCCTTATTTAGCCCAAATAAATCACATAAGTGGGATCAACCTAACCTCAAGCTTGTGAATGGCCTTTGCAATATGCCAAAGAGAGCCTGTGTCACCATCAACCTGACATTCCTACCATGCAAAAACACACATATAAAAATTTGGTTCAACCAGCAAGCACAAGATGAATATATGGGGTGGGAAGAAAAAGCATAGTTGCCATACTTTGTAAGCAAGATCCAGTTCAAACGACAGAACATCTTCATCCAGTGGAACTACATACAATGGGTACTCCCCTATGGTCATTAAGTGATGCACTTTTTCCTCCTCAAGGATCTGCACAGTGACAAAGATTCTTTATAATGTCTATGTAGACAATATATCAGCACATCAAGAGCTTAGGTCACTGCCATTGTTTACTTTGCAATAGATGCTTACCCTCTCGCATTGAATTTCACGGCGAGGAACAAAATAGATATAGTACTCTCTTTGAAGTCCTTTTGAGATATCATTATGTACATGAGAAGATATGAGCTTCATCAAGTCAAGCTGAGAAGGAACAAGATAAACCACTTTGGTGCAATCAGTCTGAACTGGCTCAGCTGAAAGATGCCGCAATTCAATCCCATATTCCTGTTCATAATCAACAGGAAATTCATAATAATAAACTTTAAAACACCGGAACATTGCCTTTTCCTCATCATATACCTTTTCAATTACGCTTCAAAAAAGAATTATCTGGGCACATCCTTTTGTTCTTGAATGTAAGTATATACAGAAACAGGCTGAATATAAAAGCTAAATTTTCATAGAAGAATACAACTCTCTTATCGAATTAAACTGAAAAGTAGCATCATTAAGCATTGGGAATTTTTTTTTTCATGAAAGAAATACCTTAAGAAGAGATGTTTGAATTATCAAAGAGAGCGAGCCACCAAGTTTCGGTTCAATAACCAAACATTTCTTTCCTCGAATCTAAAATCACCAAAACAACAATCAATAAGAAAGCGAAACGGGTTGTCTACTAAGCTAAGCTTCATGCAACAGCATCATTTTCTTTTCCTTTCTTTTCCCGAGCTTTCTCCGCAATCAAGCAGTAGTTAACTTGAAAACAAAATCTAATTAAAATTGAAGACTTACATCTTTGAGAATCTTAACAAGATCTCTCTGAGACTGTTCCCTGTAAAAAAAAAATAACAACAGTTAATTACTCCAAATTCAAATGATATTGAAGGAAATGAGGAGCTTAAGCAATTGAATTTTTCACCTGAGAGACTTGAGATTGAGAGGAGAATTATCCAAATTTGGAATCTGAGCCATTCAATCCAAAAAGGCAGAAAACCATAAACAAAAAGTTTTCTATCGGCTGTCTCTACTATGGAGAAAATGATCGTTAAAATACCATTTTAATGTACCAAAAAAACAAAAAGGCATTGAGTGCTTGGAGCTTTTGGGCCTTCCTAAACGATTTGTGGCCCAGGCAATAGTGAGCCCAATCACCCAAAAAGAGATATATCAGCAAGCCCAGATAGCCCAACTAAAAAACACCAACATTAGCCCATATTCAAAGCATAAGGGAACCCAACTAGGAAACTTGGTGAGCCCATGGGCAGTCCAAAAAAACCCAGTCGAGCAGGACACATGTTAAGGTTTGATAGGCCAAGACTCATAACTTTGTTACGTTCCCCTTTTTTATAAAATATATAATTAGGCTTCTTTTAGCCTTTGGGTATACTTAGAGCAAGTTGACATTGTAATAGAGAACCGTAGAATTTGATTATAAATGTAATGCTAAGACCATAAACTATAGTAAAATTTAGGATTAAGATTTGGGATAGATATTTAAATAAAATTAAATTATTCAAAAAATTTTAAATAAATTATTTTTTATTACATTCAATTAACTTTTTGTATTTTTATTTTACATCAAATAAATCGTAATAATTAATTATTATTAGTTAAAATGTCACTTATCATTTTTATATTCATGTGGCTTTTACGTGATATCGACACGTATAATGAAAATATCACATGATCATATCATATATGTCATATAAACAAGTCATGTCATTATTTATTATCAGAAACGAAGTCAAGATTTTACATTTGGAGAGTACAAAAGGTGTGTCAGTGGGTGTTGAAGTAATAGAGTTTAAGAATAATTTTATTAAAATAGATTTTACTTTAGTCTTTACATCTATTAAAATTAGTTAGTGATTAATTGTTGTAGATATATCATCAGATAATAAAAATTATTATAAGGAAAAAACTATAAAATTTCAAAAAAATAAATGTATGTTATGAAATTTCAAAACTTTTGAGAAAATAGAAATTTAGTAACTTTTATTATTTATTATGACATATCAGTATATCACAACAATATAACGGGATATAAAATGATAAGTGATAATTTAATTAATAATAATTAATAAATTATTAATTATAAAAATAAAATATAAAAATAAATAAAAATAATAATTTGTTTTTTTTACGTAATTTAATTTTTTAATCAATTTACAATGAATATATTATTGAAAAATAAGTTACTATTACTTTCCATTATAATTTTTTATTATAAATATGATTGACAATTGTCAGACCAAATTGGACATTAAAAACTTAATAAGGTGCAAAGAATCAAGTTTTTTTTTTTTTTGTTTTTTAATGAGCAAAAAGTGATGGCAATGAGTCAGGATCAATTTGACCATTAAATGTCCCCACGCCTTAGTTTGGGAAAAGACCAAACACCTCCGAAGTCGGGGCAATGGAAGTTTCCATTTTGAGTCCCCACATTAATTAATACAAAAACGCACGCGAGCGGACAACGAACCGCCGAAGGGAAGCCAACCCTTACAACACGGATCGAAATCCAAAGTACCCAAAAAACAGGTTGCAAACTTCACGGAACGGGGAAGAGAGTCTTTCGTCTCACGTCAGTGTTTGTATTTTAAATGCATAAGTGGTGGCTCACGAGCCATGCATCCTTTCCGTCTTTCAAGACGTGGATAAGGGACCCACCGTCGTCTCTTTGCTCATACAAATTACTAAAATGCCCTTCTCCAAATAACGTGTAATTGTTTTAATGCAACAATTTTCCAGACATAGATATATTTTGTATTTAATTAATTACCATTTTGATAAAATGTAATAAATGCTGCTTACCATAATTAACCTATAGCAAATATTTTGTTGTTTATTCGTTGGATATTTAATTTGTACAATGTATATATACCAAGTTTACATATCAATTTGAACCATTCTCACCAAATCATAATATTTATTTATATATAGAAATAATAATTACACCTGTATTTTGTATCTCATACTTTTATAAAATTAATATATTAAATAATCAAAAATCGATCGAGAAAAAAAAACACATTAAATGAACTATGAAGTAAAAAACGTGACATAGAAAAGATTATTATAATTTTTTATAATGTTTATTTATTAGATATTTAAAATTATAATTTTTTAAATTGAATCTTGTAATTTTCAAATTTAATTTTTTTAAATACAAACAATATTGAAAACAAAGTATGCTAAGAATAAAGAAGTATCAACTCAAGAATCCTCAATTAAAAAGTAGAATAATAATACTTGCCTTTTATTCCTTCCACAAAAAAAGAATAAATACTCCGAAGGGAGTGGCATTTTAGTAAGTTCAATTACAATTTCCTAAATCTTCTTCCTCCTCGGACCGATTCCCAACGCCATCACCTGCCAACAACTCGCTCTCTCTCTATTCCCCCTTCTTTCTCTTTCTCTGTCTTCCGCAATGTCTGCAACCGCCACTCGCCTCCGCCGTCTAGCTGCCGCCGCCGCTGCGGTAGCAGTGACTGTGGGCGGTGGCGCAATCCTCTTTACTCCTATATCTGTCAATGACCGTGCCGGTGGCGCCGCATTAGAGTCCGTCAGGCGGAAGATTAATGATCCGAGCGCCATCGTTCCGTCGCGAACTGTACAGGAATCGGCTTTGCTAGGTGCCAGCACGACTAAGCCACTCGACATCCTAGTTGTCGGGGGCGGTGCCACCGGCTGCGGGGTTGCGCTCGACGCCGCCACTAGAGGCCTCCGCGTCGGCCTCGTTGAACGAGAAGATTTCTCCTCCGGAACGTCTTCGCGGTCCACGAAGCTAATTCATGGTGGTAAGCATCGATATACGTATATAAATGTGTGTATATACGCTTACATTTTCTGTATTGTGAATGGTTATTTTCAGACCTTTTTCTAAAAGAACATAATTGCGAATGAATCAGTATTCTATTTCTAGCTTTCAATTCTCTTTTTCCATTAATCAATTTTTTTTTCTAGTTTGTATGTTGATTAACGAGCAATTAGTCCGTTTGGTTTCTAGTTTGATTTTTTGAATTGAAATGTGCTTTAATAAATATTTTTTTTAAATGAAGAAACGTCAAGCTGATTTGCATGATCATATTTGCATTCACTTCGCTATATGTATCAGATATATATGCTTTGAAATTGCCGATATTCAATTGTTGAAGAGGCCAAATCCAGCATGATGAGTGCATAGGATTCAAAATTTTGAAAAAAAGAAAAGGCGAAAATTTTGGGAACTCACTCTATGTGTAGAAGATATTAGATATTGAATTTTCTTTAGTGCTTTCATTTATTGCGAATTGCTGTTGGATAATTTTTGCTGCGCGGCTTAGAGTTTAAATGCCTATGGACAATGATTAACTCTTTTAATAGTTTACCTTCAGTATTCCGTTATCATATTTCCCATTAAGCATCAAGTACCCTTGTATGCATTTAATAATGACAAATTTTGTTTGAAATTGAAAGTAGTTTTAACGCCTTGTCTTTTTATTAACACTAAAAAGTTTTAAGTCGAAAGTCTTCCCCTGTTGAATTATATAAAATCTTGGATGGATAGCGAGTGATGTCACAGTTTAAGTTCTATTCTGTAGGGTGAACAAGATTAAATTATACACGTAATATCTACATGAGGCGAATTTCAATTCTCCACTGTAAGCTGGTTTCAGCTTTTGTAGGCTAATCCATTTGTTCAATTATGTTAGGTGTCCGCTACTTGGAAAAAGCTGTCTTCAACCTTGACTATGGGCAATTAAAGCTGGTTTTTCATGCACTTGAGGAGCGCAAATATTTTATTGAGAATGCTCCTCATCTCTGCCATGCTTTGCCATGCATGACGCCCTGCTTTGACTGGTTTGAGGTAGTATACTACTGGATGGGCTTGAAATTGTACGATTTGGTTGCAGGACCACGTTTGTTACATTTGTCCAGATATTATTCTGCGCAAGAATCTGTTGAGCTCTTCCCTACTCTTGCAAGGAAAGGTAAAGATAAAAGCTTGAAGGGCACAGTTGTGTACTATGATGGGCAGATGAATGACTCTCGCCTAAATGTTGGATTAGCTTGCACTGCTGCACTAGCTGGGGCAGCAGTGCTTAACCATGCAGAAGTTGTAACCTTTCTTAAAGATGAAGCTACTGAGCGGATAATTGGTGCAAGAATTCGTGACAATCTGTCAGGTAAAGCAGGCATATCCTTTCCTACTTATTCTATTTTTCTGTTCTTTTCCTCTTGATGAATTACTCTACTGTCTTGATTATTCTATTTTCTGTTCTTTTCCTCTTCATGAATAACTCAAGTTTGCAATGGAGAAAAAACTCAAAGGACCATAAGATTAAAGAAATAGCATAATAACCTTTTAGGTAATTGATTGGTAATAGCGTAAAGCCATAATTGATTATGGTTCTTCTCTGACTTGACCAGTTGGCCTTTTCTTTCACATAGATGATGATGATGCCCTATGGTTGGAAATAATAAGTGTTTTTCTTCCTGTTTTAGGCCATTTATTATCAAGCTTTGCATTCCAAATAAGTTGATATTCTAAACACACAGACACACACACTCTTTTTGGCATATCTCATGTTCTTTGGCGTTAAAGCCTTGTTGAGTTATATTTCTACTGTTGTTAAGATGAAGAAAAGAGGAGCTTTTTGTTGTTCATTTTCAGGGAAACTGGTTTGCACGCATGAGCACCAAAATGTGTGTTGCAACAAGACATTTGCTTTGCCATGTTCTTGCGTCAAAATTAAGCTTATTGATGCTTTTTGAAATTGGTGTCACTAGGTAGCTTAAGTAATCATTTGTTTGATCTTTTTGCTCATTATTATATAACAGGCCAAGAGTTTGACACATATGCTAAAGTTGTTGTGAATGCGGCTGGACCATTTTGTGACTCTGTAAGGAAAATGGCTGACAAAGATGCACAACCTATGATATGTCCCAGCAGCGGTGTACATATTGTTCTCCCTGATTACTATTCTCCAGAAGGAATGGGCTTGATTGTTCCTAAAACTAAGGATGGACGTGTTGTTTTCATGCTGCCATGGTTGGGGAGAACTGTAGCTGGGACCACAGATTCTAATACTTCCATCACCCAACTTCCAGAACCACATGAGGATGAAATTCAATTTATACTTGGTGCCATCTGTGATTACCTTAATGTCAAGGTATGGCATGGATTTATCAATGTCAAATATGTTCTAAATTTGTGATTTTAGAAACCGAATGTATTAGATTCAACCTAGTTAGCTTTATCTTTTTACTTTCTTCCTTATTGAGTCTATTTTTTGGTATATACTTAGTCTAATCTTTTATTTAATTTATGGTGGAAAATTTTAGGTGCGACGAACAGATGTTCTTTCTGCCTGGAGTGGTATTCGTCCATTGGCAGTGGATCCTAAAGCAAAGAACACTGAGAGCATCTCTAGAGATCATGTGGTTTCTGAGGATTATCCTGGTTTGGTCACAATTACTGGTGGAAAGTGGACTACTTACCGAAGGTAATATTTACTTGGATTCTGCTAGAATTTTCTTTTGGGATAGGCAGATATTCAGGGTTTGTTTGCACTACATGGTTGTCAGTATTAGTTGTATTCGTGGTTTACAGTCGCCCATCAAGGGCTGAATTTATCCTGATGGACTACTGTTGAACTAAACATCAAATGAAAATTTGGAGTTTTGGTATTTTTGAACTACAAATCTAGGGATGTACATATTCTGGATTCCCTTGATTTGGAGCTCAGGATCTCATTCTGTTGATTCCCTCTCCTTCCCTCTCTGTTTTCCTTTTGGCATAAGTTTTTGTGCTCACTAGAGCTAGTTTCAGCATGGCAGAAGATGCAGTTAATGAAGCTATCAAGTCTGGTAAACTGAGCCCAAGCAATGAATGCTTAACAAGAAACCTGCGGCTGACTGGTGGAGATGGATGGGAACCCTCATTTTTTACTGTTCTTTCTCAGCAGTATGTTCGCATGAAGAAGTCGTATGGTGGTAAAGTTGTTCCTGGGGTGATGGACACAGCTGCTGCAAAGCATTTGTCTCATGCATATGGCACATTGGCAGAACGAGTAGCCACCATAGCTCAGGTTGGTTTGCTATGTTCTCATAACAGTTGATTATTGATCTTAATGGCTGTAGTGGTTGGATGAAGTAATTGTGCATCTGTCTATTGGACATTGGGCTTTGAGTGTTGAACAAATTCAGGGATTGTAGTGTATATTTACCTAATGACACCTCATTAATCTAAAGTGTTAAGAAACAGTGAATTGGTACAACTTTCAAGGATCTTTATTCTGATGTAATGTTGCTTCATTCTTCTAAGAGGGAAAAGATAACTGGAAATAAGCTCAGCATTATAGTCTAAGGCTTTTCTATGGCATTGCTTGATGAGAGAGGATGTGTATGCAAATTTTACTTGGGCTCTGTTTGGTAAATGCTTTTACTTTTTGTGTTTTGCTATTTGTCTTTGGTTTTTTGTTCATTTTTTTTTTTTTTGCCTCTTCCTTCTGTTTTGTTTTTTTTTTGGCAAAAAAGCAAAAGTATCTGCCTAATGGAGCCTTAGAATGTCGCAAATTTCCTCTCATTATGTATTTCTGGTGATAGTTTAGGAGTCATGCTAATTTGATGTTCTGAATTCACAATTTTTATGACTTTGATATTGTGAAACAACATGTGTAATTTATGTTCCATGTCAATAGGAGCTGAGATTTCAAACTTCTTCATAACTATCCGGTTACCACGCATGTTTAAAATTTAAATTACCAACTTGGGGGCTGCGAGGGAGAGGACAAGCAATTTTAGAGCACTAGTTATAGTTCTTTATTACTCTTTTTGAGTTCTTTGATTTTTCTTGGTGTAATTAATTGAGATACTAATTCTTGTCTAATTAAATATATAAGAACCTTATTATGCAGTCAATTGAAAGTGCAATAGCCTCTTTCAGTTTTAAGAGAACAAGTTTTATGAAATGGATTTTGTGTAAGGCACTTGAATTCTTTATTCCCAGTCCCACCATCTGATCTAGAGATATAGCATAGAGCGATTTGGGAATATTTAAGTATTATATTATTTGAAAATTGCAGTTCATGTCTGTGAACACTGAACATGCAAGTTTTATTTTCTTCATGGTTGGTTAACATTTCAAATCTGCCTTTGAATTTTCAGAATGAAACTCTGGGTAAGAGGCTTGCCCATGGGTACCCTTATTTGGAGGCAGAGGTTGCATACTGTGCTCGTAATGAGTACTGTGAGTCCGCTGTTGATTTCATTGCCCGGAGATCTCGCCTTGCTTTCCTTGACACTGATGCTGCAGGCCGTGCGTTGCCACGCATTATCCAAATACTTGCTACTGAGCACAATTGGGACAAGTCAAGGCAGAAGAAAGAAATTCAGAAGGCTAAAGAATTTTTGGAAACTTTCAAGTCTTCAAAGAATGCACAGTTCCATGATGGGAAGCATGAGTAGTGAGTATTATTCTATTCATTAATGCAGGCAAAGACTTTCAGAAGCTTTGTACAATATGATTAATAATATGTTGTTAACTTTGTTTTAGGGTCTTGAAATCAATGAACCCGATTTTTGGAGCTCAAGATTCTCCTTAATTTTATGCGGCTGGTCTCCACCATGCTTATACAGGCACATATATCTTCTACTTCATTTGGCAAAGCAGCGGAATCTGAATCATATTCCATAGCATGCACAGCTTTTGGGGGCACTTGATTTTGTTGAGCTTGCTTTGCATGATTAATAATGCAACTTGTAAAAGATTGCTGGTCCCCAGGAAACTTTAGCATCTTGTTGGACCTGTCTTAAAAGGTTGGGGACAATTTACTGATTCACATGGGTAAATACATTTTTCTAACTTTATACAAGCCTTTTCCCCTGCCTTTCATATAATTTCTGGATACATGCTTCAGAAGTATCGGTGTCCAGTTTTTACTTGTATTTTACCTTCTCAATTGAGAAATAAAAGAAACATTGAATTATTTTAGTTTTCTGTCAACTGTCATATGCACCATTTGCCTCTCTTGATCATAGGAAAACTTTGAAGTATCTGAGCCAGAATCACATGCTATGCACTTCTTTTTGAATGTTAGGCTAGCTCTCTATAAGGAAATAGATCCAGTCAACAGGTGCTTACAGTTGAGCCTCAGACAAAAAAAAAAAGTTCATTTGAGCATTTGTATGTGGAATTTTGATCTTCTTTGCCTGCTTATCTTTCCATAAATATTTGAGGAATTGATTATTTTAAGTATGTGACAGTTGGAATTGTGTAATGGCCTAGTGACAGTGTACTGCTGTGGGAAGAGCCAACGCAATTGTTCCAAGCTGAAGCCCGGATTTCAGTCTGTTTCAGCCCACAATTATCAAGCCCATCATAGCCCGTATGGGTCACTGCTTCATATCTATTATTATACACGACTATTTATTTTTTTATTTGTTTCTAAATAAATAATAATAATTACATATTGAATATAAAGTTGCATATTGTACAAATAACTAAAACTAATAACATGCATATATTAACCGGCAATTACATTAACATCAAATGTTTGTCTCATGTATAAAATATATGATATAAACATAAAGTTTATTACTTTTACTGTTTAGTGTAAACTGAGAATTCTGAAGATAATATAATATAATATAAAGTTTAATTTATTTTTATTTATCAAATAATTCCATTAACATGAAAATCCCTCCCAAAATCTTATACTGAAATTAGATCTTTTTATTAAAAATAGGATAGTTTTATTAATATTTTATTATAATATTTAAAATAAGAATTTAAAAATGTATTAAACAAAATATATTTTTTGTCAATCAAAAGTTTATCCTCATCTGTACTTTTATACATCTAGTATTTATTCTCACGTATGAATACTTATTTTTAATTTTTTTAAATAACAATTATATATGAAAGATAAATATTTTCATGATTTAAAATTAATTGTCTGTATAAATAAAAGATAATTACAACTGAAATAAATTACATTCATAAAAGAAATATTTCAATTATATATAATTAAAATTTTATATAATAATTTATAAATTATTCAATACTATTAAAATTAAGGAAAATATATTTTAATAAAATCATGCAAAAAGATTAGAATTCTTATTTACAAATGGGGTAAATCATGTCAATTATTTATAATAAAAAATATTTTAAATGAAAGTCATTGAGAATTTTTATATATTTACAAATTAGATCAATTTTATTAATATTAATAATAAAAATTTGAAAATAACAATCTAAAAATGTATGAACAAATGTAATTACTTTCATTATTAAATTAGTTTTTCAATATTCGTATTTTTATGTATATTATAAACGAACAGAAATAAATAATTAGATATAAATCATGGATAATAATTCCTTTTTTTTTTTGTTATCACTACGATAATATTATCCTAATTTACCACGCGGCAGGATATGAAGTGCACTTACAGTGTAATAATTTTGAAGGTGAAAACCCCCCAAAATATCCCCAAGATTTAAAATCCACTGACTATTGGCCAGCATGCGAGCAAAGCAAAGCTAGAAAAATGGGAGCACTGTCATCCCTCCACCACCTCTCAACTTCCCTTTCCCTTCTTACCAGACCATCCCTTTCTCTCCCTCCTTTCCTCCGCCCAATCCGTACCCTCCCTCCCACCACGTCCTCCTCGTCTTTACAGTTCAACATCACATTTGCTCCTCCGAACCCCAAACCCAAACCCAGACCCCCTCCAAACCTCAAGAACGACGTCGTTCTTGACGACTCCGAATCCCCTCCCCTTCCATCCAATGGCCAGCTTTTCATCCCCTGGATCGTCCGCGGCGAGGACGGCAACCTCAAACTCCAAGCTCACCCCCCTGCGCGCTTTATCCACGCGCTAGCTGATGCTAAAACGCAGAAGCCCAAAAAGAAGGTTGACAAGGCGGTGAAGAAGAAAAAGGAGATTTCAGCTGTTGGAAATGCAAGTGTTGAGCCGCCTAAGCTTTCCAAGGCGGCTAGAAGGTTTTATAATGAAAATTTTAGAGAGCCTCCTCAAAGGTTAAGTAAAGTCCTTGCTGCTGCTGGAGGTAAATTCACTTTGTTTAATAACAGAAACTGATTTTCTTTAATTTAATTATAATATTGGGTATTTGTGGAATATTTCGACCAAGCTTACTTGTTACTACTATTACTTGCAGAAGTGATATTCTATACATTGGTCCTGGTGTTTTTTTTTTAATTATTATTATTAAAAACAAAAACTTTTATAGGTGATTCTGAATGCTTTTCATGTGTATATTTAGACATTAACCCAATTAGAATATTGGACATTTGTGTAATATCAGCCAAACTTATTATCACTTGTAGACTTGGTATTCTATACATCTATGCTGGAGTTTAAAACTTGTAAAATGTGATTTTGAATGCTTCTCATGTCTTTATTTAGTTAAATATGTTAATTAAATCTCCTCTAGTTCAATAATATTATTGGGTATTTGCGTAATATCTACCAAATTTATTACCTATAGCACTGATATTCTATACATCAGTGGTAGAGTTTAAAAATTCTTACAGGTGATTCTGAATGCTTGTCACGTGGCCATTTAATTCAATATGTTATTTATAATGGATTATTAGTTTTAAACTTCACCTTTAGTAGATGTATTCATAATTCTTTGTAGAACATGTAATTGACTTTTTATTTTTTGGTGGTTTTTTAATGGTTGTGTTACTAGTGGCATCAAGGCGTGGAAGTGAGGAGCTTATTTTTGATGGCAAGGTGACTGTTAATGGTTCTGTGTGCAATGCTCCTCAGGTAAGTGTGTAGTTCCTAGTCAATTTGTCATTGGAGTGCATTTTTCTCATGAAAAAATGTTTCTCTTTCATCACTTTTTTTTACCATCTATGTGAATTTGTGGATCATGTGCAGCCTAACTGAAGCAAGTGGGAAAATGAATTGGTAAAAATGTAGTAGGAAGTCTAAGTTGCTCATTATTCTTTTATAGAGGTTTTATTGGCATGCCTCCTATATTTTCTTTGCATACATTTTAATTATTCTTGTTTAGTTTTGCTGCTGGAATTCCTATAAAAGCTTTTATACTTAGATAATTTTTATGGCAAAGGAGTTATATGCTCATTATAGGTGATAATTTGCAGACTCGAGTTGATCCTGCAAAGGACATTATTTATGTCAACGGGAGCCGACTTTCTAAAAAACTGCCTCCTAAGGTGTATCTTGCCCTAAACAAGCCCAAAGGGTTTGTCACCACTACCAAACTACAATGCTCTTAATGGCCTTTTGCGCTGTTTGCTTCAGTATATTATCTGGATCTAATGCAATCATGTTTTGCCAGGTATATTTGCTCATCTGGGGAGAAAGAGTTCAAATCTGTCCTGGATCTATTTGAGGATTATTTAAAGAGATGGGTATGTCCACGTTGCAACTTTTGAAGTATGGTTTCTCGTTGTCAACTTATTTGCAGCTACAGTTATGTATGCTTAGAAGATTTCTCTTGTCAATGTCATTTGCTTTATATAGATTTATATCATATGTTTTATTTATTTCCTATAGTTTTGCAAAATTGTAAGAAGGAAGTTTGTTTTTCCAGGACAAAATGAATAGAGGTTCTCCCAAGCCACGATTATTCACTGTTGGCCGACTTGATGTTGCTACAACTGGCTTGATTATTGTGACCAATGATGGTATGTATTTTCCTGCATATATACCCATCCTTAATCTTGATGACTGAGTCTTAGCTACATATCAATTACCTTTTGTTGTCTGTTTCAGGAGATTTTGCTCAAAAGTTGTCACATCCTTCATCCAACTTAAATAAGGAGTAAGATTCTTTGCATTTTATACTTTGTTAGTGACAGGGATTACTGCACATAGCTAGGGGTGGCATTTGGTTGGGTTGGGTTGGGTTGTGTTGATCATTTCGGTTTGGGTTATCTTGGGGTCTGGTCATTTGGGTTTGACATTCGGGTTATTTGGGTTGAAGTTGTTGACTTTTAAAGTAAAATCAATTTAATTTTGGGTTATTCTTCCGTATCTTTCGAATTTAGGTTGTTTCCCATCTCTGCACATAGCTGTGTTGGAAGAGTGGTTCCATCGTAAAATTTAGTATTGTAGCCCAGGGACTAGTGACATTGGATAGTATGCCTCTAAAAGATGGTAGTATTACATTTTGAATGGCAGTGATTTGATATATTTAATACCTACTGCTTTTGCATTAGGACTTTCATGCTGTTATGACTCGTTCATTATATTCATGTATTCCATTTACCCTTGTTTTTTTATTATTAAATGATACTCTTCATTTTTCATATTGACTAAGATTTGGTTATTTTCTGGGATGCTATTGTCATTAACTGGAGTTCTATTCCCTGTGACAATGCACTTACAGATACACTGCGACAATTAATGGTGAAGTAAAGAAGCGGCACTTAATTGCCATCAGTGAAGGGACAGAAATTGAAGGCATTCATTGCATCCCAGATTCTGTGGAATTACTTCCGCGGCAGCCAGATTTGTCAAGACCTCGTCTTCGTATTGTGGTATTGGTTATCTCAACATGTGGTTTTGATAATCCCAATTTTTTGATGAATTTTAAATTGGTTTATAAATTTAGATAATTTAAAGAATTTTGAGCTTTTCCTCTTGGATTCTGTGTAGTCAAAGATTTGATATGCAAATTAAGCCATTAATTTGATGGGTTTAAATTTAACAGTGTTATTCTCCAATCATTTTCTTAGAAGTTAGTAAAAAGATGAGAGCTGTGCAAGATTACTTGAATTGTTTTGCTAATTTTTCCTCTTCTTTTGCTAAAACTGGGTTTGCAGGTTCATGAAGGGAGGAATCATGAAGTTCGTGAACTTGTGAAAAATGCTGGACTTGAGGTCAGTTTCGGTCTTCTTACATGACATTTACTCACATACCTAAAATGGCTCATAGTTTGCTCTAAATTGATCGAGTTTATATAGGAATGGACCATAAAAATAGCTTAAAATTGTTTGATAAGGAAATCATTAGTAATATGAAATTATTGCCGCTTTGGGATGATAGGCTTATCATACCTATTTGATCTTCCATTCATCAAGTCTCACTGGATACTTTATTTGTTTTTTCAATTTTCTCTTTAACTTATTTATTTATCTTTTTATTTTTGTTTATAAGGGTATTGATATTTTTTTCCCAGATTCATTCGTTGAAGCGTGTACGCATAGGTGGTTTCAGACTTCCAGCAGATCTAGGGTATTATTTCTGACGATGCCATTTTTTTACATCAACATTGAGGGTGCCTTTCCCCCACTCTTTCCCTTTCTTTTCTCCTTTCCATAATCACTCTACCAAAAGTCGGCTTGATCAAATGGATACAGTTTGATAGTAGCAAAGCAACCTACCATTGAACTAATAATCATCACGATGTAGAAGCTGTGCTCTAGCCTCTGAGCTAATTGTCTTGTTGAATATTCAACTTTCTTTGAGTACCACTTGCAATCCTAGGGGATTTTATGAGTGCCTAATAACCTTTCCTTTAATTTCTGTGGGTTTCCTTTCAGAAGCTTTGGCTTGGAGCCTCTGTTCATATGGGAGGGGTAAAATACTACCAATGTTTAAGCCTTTTGTTTTCCCATATTTCAATTATTTTTGGTTTGAGTAAAACCAGTTTTTTTCTTCAATATCTTCCATCATATGGGTAAAATACATCTTGTTTTCAAACAGAAAGTACCCTCCCTCTTCTTAGGCAGGTCCAACAGACACTGGGTTAGGCAGGTTTAAAGCTAACCAAAACCAGTTTCAGCAGAGAAGCTCTTGTAAAACTTAAAACCATGTGACATTTTGTTTAGCATCCCAGTTAGTACCTCCGATGTACCATGTGTTTAGTAAGATAGGTTTGGCTTTTGTCTGCTAATGCCAGCTGTAGTTTGCATGTGGATTATCCTGCAAATTAAATTCTAGTTTTAGTTACATATGCACGCAACAGATTGTGGTAATGTGTTTTGACATTCAGGATAGGGAGGCATGTCGAGCTAAAACAGAGTGACCTTCATGCAATGGGTTGGAAGAGTTAGCGAAGTCACTGCTTCAGTGGCGGCATCTGCATTTTCTTTGGTCTCCATGGAAAGGCCTTCAACCAGATGTTACATGTCCATGGAGTCACTGATTTCTTGAGAGCATGGGAACTGGCCCCTTCATGGCAATGGTTTATGGGCCTATGAGTTGGACATCATGATTTCTCATTGTGTTGGATGACTATTGCAGGCAGGCCGCATCTTCTTCTATGGAAAAGGGCATAATTCTTGAATTACTACTTCTGTGAGGTAAAATTATTTATATAGATGTGGAGTTGTTTTGTACATATGGAGCTCTAATACATGCTACATTACCAAACTGCTTCATGGAAATCAAATGATTGTAATGGATCTGGTTTAAAGAAAAGGAACATCAGGGCAGAAGCAATTGCATTTTGTGATGAAAATTTGCACAAGGTTATAGAAATGTATTTTTGAGTAACTACCATAGAGCATTAAGGAGTTGGTTTGACATGCTCTGGACTGTGATTATTGACATTTAAATGAATGTTCACATCACAGGATAATGTTCTCACTATCTGCATTTTGCTTGAGATCCTGTCTGCATGCGTTTTCTTCATATTTTTCATATTCGTTCTCAATCACAACTTGCTGACATCTATGTTAATTTAGGAATTAGTCTAATGTACTTCACATGTGCGTATACAACGTGTACATATTCCATAAGTGATATAAGATACATAGCAGTCTAATTTTAAAGGGGTAAAGCAGTCTCTATATTCCCTTTTTTTCATGAATATTCACTACTGTCAATTTCAACATGCCTAAGGCTCACACTTTTTTAATTTCTCTTGACAATTTCTCGAGTTCTATGCATCAACTGAGATCCTGTGTTTGCAAATTCTGTAACCTTGTCACTGATTTAGGTAGTTCTCTAATATAATGGTTTCTAAAAAAGGTCTTAATAGAGATGTGTTTTTGGTATATCATGGCTTACTGAGTAACTGAAGATCATGGTGAGTTGAACGGGTCCTAGTTCACTAGAAAGATCTTAATAGAGATTTTTTGAAATGACTTTGAAGGTTATCATTTTGAATAAAATAGTAGGAGAGTTATTTAAAATATTAAAATCTTGTTTTAAATAGTCTATGTATAATATTTACAAATTACTTATTTATTCAAGCTTAATTATATTAAAACCTTGTTTTAACCCTTGAACTTGATTGTATGAATTAATTTGGAAAAATGATTGGATAGAAACTGTTAAATTATCATGTGGATGCGGCCATGCAAAAGAAGTTTGCAATGGGCAGGGCTCCATATGATTAATGTTAAAGATAAGCACAGTTAGGTGCCCATGATTAATTGGTAAAGCAAGATGGATCAACATCTAATACAAAACTTAATTTGTAACCTATTCATATCCCTCATTTTTCTTATTTGGATTAAGGGGAAATATGAAGACTAATTTTGAAGCACCACGTCCACATGAGTAGGGTCATGCTTACCAAATTAACAGTTGATTTTGATTGGCCGACATGAGAATTTACTTTCAATGCTTCTTTAAGTTGCAATATATGCAAACGTACGGCTTGATCTGAAATTTAGGACATCATATGTTAATTTTTTTTTCAAATATAATAACTGAATAAGTTGGAAATCAATAATTTTAAAAATTCCAAACTAGTATTGAATTGTCAATAAAAAAAATTATTTTGAATTGAAAAAAAAAATCGATTGAATCAAAATGATTTTAATTTTTTTATTTGATTATAATAATTTTTAAGTTTCAATTTTTTTCAATTCACTCTGAGGGGATCGTATTTTCTACATTTTGTGTGCTATAATTTTAAATTCATAAAATTTTTATTTTTATTTTTTGCAAAAAGTAAGAAATGTTAAGATCCAAAAGCTAAACAGTTGCCTATTCTACTTTTTTTGGGCTGTATAGTTTCTTATTCATTCTCCCCAACCCAACTCTTTTATAAGAATAGCAAAATCATTTCCTTTGGGTTTTTAAATTTGGGACTTCTCAAAGCCTAATTTAACCCTTCTTGGTTTCAGCTATCATTTGGGTTCTCAGGGCCCATAAACATTAACCAGGGCACGTATTCAAACCCATCACAGCCAATGTTAAAACCCAAACCCCGAGCCCGGTCCAAACCCAGTCGTATAAATTAGGCTAAGTAGCCGCTCTCGCTTCTTTCTTAAACGTAAAAGAGAGAGGAACAGGGAGGGAGAGATGGTTTCGCGAAACCTTAAGCTCCGGAAACGGCTCTCTGCGAGCGGTCTAAAGTGTGGAAAAGGAAAAGTTTGGCTCGATCCAGATGAAGTCAACGAAAGCTCCATGGCCAACTCCCGTACGTCTTCCTCTTCCCTTTTACTCACTTCCTAACTTTTACCTTTTTTATAGGCAGCAGTTTTGAGTTTTAGGTGCAATTTAGACTTGATTTGCATCGTTTGTTTGCCAAATAAAATGGTGGAAAATGAAGCTCAGAGCTTCAACTGGGGTTTGGAAAAATGAAAGCCGAGACGCTCGAGTTCAAATTTTTAGGAGTTGAATCTAATAATAGCTGCTCTATTTCAATTCAAAGCTCAGTTTTTTTTTTCTGAGTTTTTTTAGTGATTTATAACAACCAAGTTTTATATAGTTTGCGGAGATGAACTCTAGCTTATTCGTTAAATTTATGAATTTGTAGTTATTCTATTGGAAATATGCAGAAGGAATACATTCTTGAACTAAAACGTGTGGTGAATCCATCAATTAACTTGAAGGGTTACTAGTTTTTCCGCATTAGGAAAATCGAATTTTCGAATAATATGGTTTTCTGTTTCATCATTCTATACCGTGGAGTAGTAGAGTGCAATTGAAGCAGTCTCATTTTTATCATTTGCCACATAAATAAACAACATAATTTACCCTAATAAACATATTTAAACATAAAAACTCCTTGCTAAAGAAAAAAATAAACCTTGTTTCCTATAAATTTGCTGCAAACAGAATAAAATTGTAGTGTTCATATACATGTTTCGTGCTGTTGTTTACCCTCTTGAGGGTACCGAACACTTAGATTTTGTTTTGATTTAAAGAGACTTCATTAACACAATCCTATTACAGCTATTTCAATCTATTTTTGAGTTTATTCTTTAGTTTTATATTTCTAATGTTGAGCCTAAGCGCTACATTTCATTGACTAGTTTGATTAAACGATGAATTAGTTTTTTTTTTTTTTTTTGTTGAAGCAAATTATCACAAAATACTTTGCTTAATATCTTTCCTTCTTCTCCATTTCGAGAAAACTTTTTTTATTGTTTTTTGGTTTGGACTAATAATCAAATTTATCAACATTAGAAAATGGAGATAGAAAATTGAATGGGAGGAATTTGATATAATTTCCAAAACTGAATGGATCTTACCTTTTTTTTTTCAGGCTTATCTGAGCTGCCTGTAGAGTTAATGACCAGACAAGATTCATGGAGGTATATGAACAGTTCAATTTTTTACTCAGTTTGTTTGCTGCAAAATTATAAGAAACAAGTTTTTTTTTTCTTTGACAAGGAGTTTTTATGTTTAAATATATTTATTAGTGTAAAGTTTTGTTGAGGTTTATGTTGAAATATTTAATTTGGATAGTTCAAATTTATTTTTTTACTGCTTTCAATTTCTTAATATCTGATTGACATTAAGAGAATCCTGTTTGCCTATTTGTAGTTTGGAAGGCAATGATAGTAATGCTTTAATGTTGTCTACAAAAGGAAGCAAGAAAAGGCAAGGGAATAACCAGGTATCATCCATGATTTGATTAGCCCTTGATTCTTGTTTCGATCATATTAAATAAAAGCTTATTGTCAAATAATTATGCCGACAGGAGCTTGAAAAGGCCAAAGAGAAACAACCCCCCAAATTGAGTAAATCTCAAATAAGAAAGTTGAAGAAGTTGGAGGTACTCGCCCTTTCTTGATAATTGATACCCTACTTGGTTTGCCTTTTTTTTTTATGTGTGTGTATGTGATAGAGAGATGACTTCTATTTTGTTGGTGCAGGAGGAGAAAGAGAAGGCGCTTTTGTTATCAAAGAGCATTGAGACCTTGGAGTACTATTCCTTTCTATTTCTAAATAGTGTATCCTACTTTGTTTGTCATTCATTGAGGAAACTTATTGAATGTTTGACAAATATTATAACATTTACATTTTCAGGAAATACAAGATTTCGGAAGATGCATATACTTTACTGCAGTCTTCAAAAACTATTGGTCTGGTTTGTATCATTGAGTCTTTGCCAAATTTAAATCAAAGCATGATTAGTATGCCTTATATTAATTTGCTTCAAGTAGGCTGAAACAATGCGGGAAAAACGTAGGAGAGTTGTTCAGTTCTCGAAAGCAGGTTTAGAACCTCCATATGTTGACAAATCTCCTAAGGGGAGAGTGGGCGATAATTCATCATCTTCTTCTGAACCTGAGCCTGAACCTGAGTTGGAGGAAATCAACTCAAGGCAGGATATTGGCAAAAATCACGTTGGGCAGCCATTAATAATAGAAAGAGAAGTTGCAAGAAATGCATTTGGTCCTTTGGCTTCTTGTCAGGAGCTAGTTTTTGGTAAGGACCTAGACCCAAGCTGCAGTTCTGTTGATACCTTACCAACTAAGGGCGTTTCCCTTGAGGAAAACAGCACACCTTTTGAAGAAGATATTAAAAACTCCATTGCTAAGTTGTCCACTGATGATGGGAGAGAAAGCTCTATGTCAAAGGTAAGTTGGAGTTTTGAATGTTTTATGTATCATTTGAAGAAAAAATTGCACTTAAAGGGACATTGTATATACATAATATTTTAGTTAGGTATTATTCTTATATGATTTGATTTTTATAAAGCTTTGTGCCCTGTGTTGCTACTTGCTATATAAGTCATAAGTTAGAAACACTTTTTTAAGATGTGATGAAAAAATTGAGAGTATTTGCAAGATGTATCTTGACTTACAAAAGTTAATTTGTTGTACATAAGCTGAATAAAAGTGTAAAAGAAACAATGAAATAGAAATTTCAAGTTTAATTTTAATTGAAATTCCATGCTTAATTTCATCATATTTTCTTTCATGTTTATCTGCTATGTTATTGCCTTATTTGAGATGGTGGTTTGACATGAGTTACGTTAATGAAATAAGAGCCCAAACATTCATTTCAATGTGACTTGTCATGTTTAGCTTTGTTCTTTGCAGGGACTTCTTTCTGCCCCAACCGTAGTGCATGTATCTAGGCCAGATGAGGTTGAAAACAAAAGGAAGGATCTTCCAATAGTCATGATGGAACAGGAAATAATGGAAGCTATAAATGAAAATTCTACTGTTATTATTTGTGGAGAGACTGGATGTGGTAAAACCACACAAGTTCCTCAGGTATGGCTGTTTGATGCATGATTGTGTCTACTTACTGGGATCTAAAAACTAATTTTTCTGTTCAATAATTCTGTTTTTTTTTCCCATTTTTGTTCCAATATTTTAGTTTCTTTATGAAGCCGGCTTTGGTTCAAGCCACTCTACCCTTCGAAGCGGTATCATTGGTGTTACTCAACCCCGTCGTGTAGCAGTCCTTGCTACTGCTAAGCGAGTTGCTTTTGAACTTGGTCTTCATCTAGGTAAAGAAGTTGGGTTTCAAGTTAGGCATGACAAGAAGATAGGGGACAGGTGCTCTATCAAGTTTATGACTGATGGAATTTTACTTCGAGAAGTTCAGGTTTTACTTCCACTTACTGTTGTTATATATATCTTATCTGTGATAACGCCGATGACTATGCATGAAATATAAAATAACTTTCATTCTTTCTTTAGCAGCTTCATCTTTATATTCTTCTTATAGCTGCACAATTTGTGGTGCAGAATGATGTTCTACTAAAGCGCTACTCCACCATAATTCTGGACGAGGCTCATGAGAGGAGCTTGAACACAGACATACTTATTGGAATGCTTTCTCGTGTAATTCGACTTCGTCAGGTGAAACTTGAAAGATTTTTTGTTCTACATTGGGGCAATAAACTTAATTTATTTTCTTCTATAGTCACCCCCTTACTGTATTCTTTCGTGGTTGATGGCAGGATTTGTATGAGAAGCAACAGCGTATGGTGCTTTCAGGACAAAGTGTAAGCCCTGAAAACTTGATACTTCCGTTAAATCTTGTTTTGATGAGTGCTACACTGCGAGTGGAAGACTTCATTTCTGGGAGAAAGTTATTTCATGTTCCTCCTCCTGTTATTGAAGTTCCAACTAGACAATATCCGGTGACGATACATTTCTCAAAGAGAACAGAGCTTGTGGATTACATTGGTCAAGCCTTCAAAAAGGTCATGTCAATTCATAAGAGGCTGCCACAAGGTGGCATACTTGTTTTTGTCACTGGACAGAGAGAAGTGGAATACTTGTGCCGAAAGTTACGTAAGGCTTCTAGGGATGTGATCAGTAGTATTTCTGAAGGGGACAAAAGTACTGACATCAGTGCTCCCTCTCAAATCAATTTGGTTGAGGGCATTAATATGAAGGATATCAGTGAAGCATTTGAGATTCACAGAGACTCAACCCACCAGCAGACTGACAGGTTTAGCTCGTACGATGAAGATCAGGATGATTATGAGGAGGATGATTCCGATGCTTCTTATGATTCAGAGATGGAGAGTGAGCTGGAAATTTTCGGTGAGGAAAGGAACACATTAGAACAAAAATCCATGGATAATGTCGACAACTTGGTTGATGTGTTTGGAGGGAATGGAAGCCTTGCTTCTCTTAAGGCTGCTTTTGATGCTTTGGCTGGGAAAAATGGTTTGGATGCTAATCCTGAGGGAGGAGAGACTGTCTCTATTAATCCAGAGAACAGCTTAGAGCAACCCCCTGCACCCGTTGAAAAAATTAGAGAAGGTAATAGAAGTCTCAATGCTGGTATACTACGAGTTCTGCCTCTTTATGCCATGCTACCTGCCGCAGCACAGCTTCGTGTATTTGAAGAGGTTAAGGATGGAGAGCGGCTTGTTGTTGTTGCTACCAATGTGGCTGAAACCTCTTTAACCATCCCAGGAATAAAGTATGTGGTTGACACTGGGAGAGAAAAGGTCAAGAACTATAATCCTACCAATGGTATGGAAACCTATGAGGTTCAATGGATAAGTAAAGCATCTGCCGCTCAGCGAGCAGGAAGAGCTGGAAGAACTGGGCCTGGCCATTGCTATCGTCTCTATTCATCTGCAGTCTTTAATAACATATTTCCTGATTTCTCTTGCGCTGAAATATCTAAAATACCTGTTGATGGTGTTGTTCTTCTTATGAAATCCATGGGCATTGATAAGGTGAGCTTTGCATGTATTTTGTTTTTGTCTTTAATGTTGTTGTTCTTCTTATGAAATCCACAAGCATTGATAAGGTGAGCATTGCGTGTATTTCGTTGTTTGTCTTTTTCTCTTTATAAAGTTTCATATTGAGGTCTATATGGTGTCTATATTAGATAATTTATGTTGAGTTAATTTTTTGGATCCAATGACACACACGCACACACACATATTTGTTTAATAACATTTTTTTCCCATAAGCTCCTGCTGATGCATAATTATGGTAGGGATCATCATTAATTCTACTAAATTATCTGAATTTTGTTAGGAGACAAATGTTCATTTTTTGCGTTTTAATATTGCTCCTTTAGGACATGCAGCATGTATAATTCTGCCTTTACAGAGTCAAATATTTTATCACTTGGTTCACTTGTAGTTAGTAGTGTTCATTTGCACTATGAGTATAATGCTTGATCTGTTAATGGGCTTTCTCATAAGGTTCCTTAAAGTTTTAGGTTTTAAGGGACTAATCTACTTGATCTACATTAACCTCTTGTTCTGTGAAAATTGAAGTTGTTCAGCAATGAATATTTATGTTTTGTTTTCTGCGTTTTTGCAGGTTGCAAATTTCCCATTCCCAACTTCTCCAGGGCCCACTGCCCTGGTTGAAGCAGACCGTTGCCTGAAAGCCCTTGAAGCGCTTGATAGGAATGGAAGGTTGACATCTCTGGGGAAAGCCATGGCTCATTATCCTATGAGTCCTCGCCACTCAAGGATGCTCCTTACTGTTATCCAGATTATGAGAAGGGTGAAAAGCTATGCTCAAGCAAATCTGGTTCTTGCGTATGCAGTTGCAGCAGCTGCAGTTTTGAGCTTGACAAATCCATTTGTTATGGGATATGAAGGAAGCTACAGTCAAACTGATGAGTCGAAGCAGAATGATGGATCTGGTCCCTTAGATAGTGAGAAAGTTTTGAAGAAAAAGGAAAAATCACAGAAAAAGAAACTAAGAGAAATGGCCAGAATGTCACGTGCCAAATTTTCTAATCCTAGCAGTGATACTCTGACTGTGGCTTATGCATTACAGTGTTTTGAGCTTTCCAAAAGCCAAGTAGAATTCTGCGATGAAAACGGATTACATCTGAAAACCATGGAAGAAATGTCCAAGCTAAGGAAGCAACTTCTTCAGTTGGTTTTTAATCAAAATGTTCATCATGATGTTGAACAGGATTTTTTATGGACTCATGGAACTATGGAAGATATAGAACTCTCTTGGAGGATCTCCTCCAGTAAGAACCCACTTTTACTGAATGAGGAAGAACTCTTAGGCCAAGCTATCTGTGCTGGGTGGGCTGATAGGGTTGCCAAACGCATTAGAGGAGTTTCAAGGTCATCTGAAAGGGATAGAAAGGTAAATACAGCTCGGTATCAAGCATGCTTGGTCAAAGAAACTGTCTTTCTCCATCGTTCTTCATCTCTTTCAAATTCTGCTCCTGAGTTCTTGGTGTACAGTGAACTTTTACATACAAAACGGCCATATGTGCACGGGGTGACTAGTGTGAAATCAGAGTGGCTTGTTAATTATGCCAAATCGTATTGCACTTTTTCTGCTCCTCTGATTGATCCTAAACCTTATTATGATCCTCAAACAGACGAAGTATATTGTTGGGTAGTACCCACTTTTGGGCCTCACCTATGGCAACTTCCATTGCATAGTTTGCGGATCAGTAATGACACACATCGTGTGACAGTATTTGCATTTGCTTTGCTTGAAGGCCAAGTATTACCATGCTTAAGGTCTGTTAAGCAATTCATGTCAGCCTCTCCTGATATCATTTTAAAGCCAGAATCATATGGTCAAAGACGAGTTGGAAATCTTTTACATAAGTTAAAGGGCCGGTCAATCAACAGTTGTGCTCAGTTAAGACAGACATGGGAGGAAAATTCCGGGGAATTGCATTTAGAAATTCGTGACTGGTTTCAAGAAAGTTTCCACAAACAATTTGCAAAGCTTTGGTCAAAGATGCTCTCCGAAGTTCTTCTAGAGCCTCAAGAACGTTTCCCCAAAAGAGTGAAGAGGGATACAAGGAAAAAATAAGTTGCTTATTTTTAATCAGTTTCTTGTACATGTCGAAGAGCTTGGGATGGGAAGAACTATTTATATATTGAACCATTTACCGATGAAGATGAAAAAGCTTTGTGATATATTTTTGCTCATTATTATATAACAGGCCAAGAGTTTGACACTGCTGCACATTGCAGCTGGAGCAGCAGTGCTTAACCATGCAGAAGTTGTATCCTTTCTTAAGGATGAAGCTACTGAGCAGATAATTGGTGCAAGAATTCGTGACAATCTCTCAGGTAAAGCAAGCATATTCTTTCCTGCTTATTCTATTATTCTGTTCTTTTACTCTTCTTGAAATACTCTTCTGTCTTGATTATTCTCTTTTCTGTTCTTTTCCTCTCTATGAAATACCTCAAGTTTGCAATGGAGAAAAAACTCAAAGGACTATAGGATCAAAGAAATACTTTAATAACCTTTTAGGTAATTTATTGGTAAGGGTGTAAGTGAAAAACAATTATGGTTCTTCTCTTACTTGACCAGTTGGCCTTTTCTTTCACATAGATAATGATGCTCTGTGGTTGGAATAATAAGTGTTTTTCCTGTTTTAGGCCATTTATTATCAAGCTTTACGCCAAATAAGTTGATATTCTACGCACACACACACACACACACACACAAACACAAACACATACGCACACATATATGTTCTTTTTGGTATATCTCATGTACTTTGAGGTTAAAGCATTGTTAAGTTATTTTTGTAATGTTATTAAGATTAAGAAAAGAGGAGCTTTTTGTTGTTCATTTTTAGGGAAACTGGTTTACACATGAGCACCAAAACGTGTTTTGCAACAAGACACTTGCTTCACCATTTTCTTGCTTCAAAATTAAGCTTATTGATGCATTTTGAAACTAGTGTAATTAGGTAGCTTAAGTAATCATTTGTTTGATCTTTTGGCTCATTATTATATAATAGGCCAAGAGTTTGACACAAGCAAAACTTCTTGTGAATGTGGCTGGACCATTTTGTGACTCTGTAAGGTAAATGGCTGACAAAGATGCACAACCAATGATATGTCCCAGCAGCGGTGCACATATTGTTCTCCCTGATTACTGTTCTCCAGAAGGAATGGGCTTGTTTGTTCCTAAAACTAAGGATGGA